ATTTGAAATTCCTAATTTTATCATTACTCAGAGGAGTTCAGAGAACTCCCCCCCCCCCAGCCCCCTGGTTCTTCCTCCTTCACACCCCTCTCTGACTCACTCTGAATCAGACATTTCCTTCCTGCTCCAGGGCCATAAACCTACCACTTCTACTGAGAGTCACCTCTTCCAGCCTGCTGCCCCTGATCCCACACAGCACCTCTCTCTTCGATGCCTCTCTGGTTCTAGGCTGTTTATCTTCAGCTTTTAAAGAGCCCCACATTCCACTTCTCTTAAAACGACTACCCTTACTCCTCGGCCTTCAGACCTACAGTATTTTTTAGTCTGCCTTCTTCCCTTTCTCTCCAACACCCTCAAGCAGGTGCTTCACTGCCGCCACTCCATTTTCTTCTTCTTTCTGCACTTGGTAATGAACTCCCTCCATTTTGACTTTCACTCCTCACAATCAATTAAATTCTCTGGTACTGATTCTCACTGATTCATTTCCTACTCTCTCCCTCTCCTCAGTCTTAATCCTGCTTAGTCTTTCTACCACTATTGACACTGTGGCTGCTCAATGACCTGTCAACACTTCCTGACATATATATTTCAGGAACTGCTCAAATAAGATTCTCCTCCCACTAAATATCAGATCTTCTGGAAAGACTTGCTTTGTCCTCTTTGCTCTGTCCATTGGTCTCCCAAAGCTGTGCCCAGGGACCCATTCAGTTCTCTCTCAACACCTCTCTCACCAATTTCCACAGATTCTGAAATTATTTTTGCGTTGATGATGCTCAGATATTCCACTCTTTTCTTCACTATTATGGTCATAGCTGCTACTTACACATATCTTCTTGTCACACAGGTGTCGTCACCTCGGTGGATTCCCATCATCTTAAACCCAGGTCCTTAAGGTCTTATGTCCTTTTCTTCCTTTTCTCTTCTTCTTCCAAACTGGACCTCTCCATCATATTTCCTCTTGACTCTCAAACTTCCTCCACCTCACCCCTTTCCTCTCCTCATCTGCTAAGAATCTTCAGAGTCTTATTGCCCTCCACATTCTCCTATTTCATACACATTTTATCACACTCCTGTTTCTTTAACAGCACAATCAGCAGAATCTTCCTCTTATGTACTAGCTTTTCAACACAGCTTCTAGCCAGGCTCTGGCTCATACCAGTCTAGACTACTGCAGCTTTCTTCGATCTTTCCTGTCTACTAACACTATCCATGCACTCCTACTCATTCAGAATTCTACTCTCTTTTCTCAAAGTTGCTTTGTTCATGCTGCACCCTTACTGCAGTTCCTCCACTGGCTCCCTATTACCACACACACCCAGGGCAAAACTCAAGTTCTCGCCTACCACTGTTTCATCCTCCCCACTCCTGACTTTCTTTAGTCTCATATTTCTCCCTGCGTCCACTCCTGTTCCCTATGCTCCCCCTTTGTGAAAGCCAAATTTTCTGTGTATCCGTTCTCCCACTTCAAGAGCCCATTCATTTTCCACTCTTGCCCCTGATTGGAGTGACAGCATATACAGTACTACCTGTCACGCCCTCTGCAGCCAGAGGGTGCTCCTTCTCTGTCCTGTCTCTCTTTTCCGGTTCTTTGCTGTCCTTCCGGTGTTTCTCTCTCTTTGGGGCTATATATTTCCGGGTCTTTCATTCTGCCTTCGCTCAGCATTGACGTTCGGATATCCTGAAACCCGCCTAGCACCAGTTCGCTCCATGTCTGCTACATGAGGGCATAGGTTTCTATATGGCATTCTCTGAACAGTTGAGCCTGGGCTAACCCCCATCTCGCCCCTTCGCATAGGGTCTTTTACGCTCTCCTGCCATTCCACGGTTCGTCCCTTTCTGACATCCGTGACACTACCTTCTGAAATCACAACTGCTCAGTCCCTGACCTCCTTTCTCTCCTTGCCCAAATCTCATTTGGTTAGATAGAGATAAATCTGATATTACCTGCTATATTAGATAATACCTGTCACCTCTCATTTCTTAACTATATATCCTTCGGTATATTTTACTCAGTAAAACTTGCCAGTATGACATGCCTGGGAAACTTGTTCGATGATACAAAATCATTTGCATTAAAAATGCCACCTAGCCTTTTGTTTTGCATCCCCTAATTTTTGTTTGACTTTTGATTCTGAAGTCCTTTGGGTTCACAATGGCTTTGAAGATTTTGAGGATACATGAATTGGGTCTACCCTTTAGACCGTCACGAAAGATGGATTAGAAAATAATGTGCAATAGGTACAGTAGTAGTCATTTGGTAGCCACTTTTCAACAGTCAATTAACTATTGAGTTTGCACAGTTACTGTACATCTATAATAATCAATATCCTCAACAACACAGCATAGTTAAGATGGAATGAATGTTATAATTTCAGTTTCTTGATTCCTTCATATTATAGAAAAAAAATACAGGAATTTCCCTTGGTTCATTATCTCTGAACGTAAAAAAAAAAATGGCAAGTTGTTATTTTAATTTCCACCCAGAATTGGAGTTTTGTTTTAAATCTCAGGGGTGACAAACTTTCCGATTCTAAATCGGCAATAAACATTTAAAACACAAAATATGTGCAGTGTCTAAAGGAAGTATTTAGGCAATTCAGCTATTTTTTTATCTGTTCTACTAAAATTGAATTTAAAAAGAAAAAAACACTTTGGTTTAGTATTTGTGAAAGGAACTAGAGAATCGTGGTTTAACCCGTTTTAGATTAAGATCTACAGTAAAACGGCTTGGCTGAAGCTAGCGTTGGAAAACATCAAGGATTCGCTTCAAGACGTCATACTGTATACAGTATCTGCAGTGAGGGTAGGTTTGTAAAGTTCGATATTCGCTGGATGTAATTTCTTAGAAGTGCAAGGTGCCGTATATCCAAAACCAAGCTAAAACTGAAGTTTTAAATTTACTCCAAGAGTACGCTGGGTGTATTATTTTTCTCTCTGCGTCTCAGAATTCTATTTCACACATTAAATAAGGTTAGTTTTTGAACGATTTCCAGATTATAAACCATTATACTATGACATTCTCTTCCCAAGATACACGATACGCAGAAGCGTTACTATAATATAGAAAACTCTGCTACATATTCTACATTAACTTGAAGCTATGCTACATAAGCATGAAAACATTCCGATTTGTGTTTCTTAACCTACTCGTATTGATGGTGATGCTAGTTCTCTCACCCCCAGGGAAGGGGTGGGAGTTGAACGGTACAGCAAGAGGGCTTAGTGTGTGGGTTAGATTAAGTCACTCTAACTGGAGAATTTCGGCGCACGGAGATTTTGCCCTCGGAGTGGTGTTATGCAATCCTGACCGTGGGAAGATGCAGTGGTGGGTGTTGTCTGAAAATAAACACAACTTCTAATCTTAAAATTGTGAGGAAGCACACATTGGTATGCTTAAGCATTAAAATCCACCAGGCAGTTGTGAGATGCATTAATTTAATTGTTTTACTATCAAAAGGAAATTTGTGTATTTTAAAAGATACTGTATCTCCACAGAGATATGCATTTGGGTAACCTTCAGCGTTGATAGTTTTTCAGATTAGCCTTGCAAAAGCTGGTGTCTGTATGACTTGTTTTTTCCTCAACTGCCTGCTACATGACATACAATTTCGTATAGATTTTTTTGAGAACTATAAAACGCAAAAAATAAAAACGCTTATAGGTTTGTTTCGTCTCGACAACTGAAATAATTGACTTCTACAGTATGTTCTTCTGATGTCTATTTTTGCAAGAAAAGCACGTGTTCATAAAATAATATTTAGCATGCCACCTGTAAAAACATGCTAAATCGAATTCTTAACAATCACATGAAACACAATAAAAATCCTAATAATCCAACTATACATCGAGTTTCATCCAAGTGAAGGCAGCGGGGAAACCGGAGCCTATCTCGGAAACCAACAGGGGCAGGGCGGTATCTCGGAAACCAACAGGGGTAGGGCGGTATATACCCTGGGCTGGACGCTAGTCCATCGCCGGGCACACACACAGACGCGCGTTCACACCAGGGCCAATTTTCCCAATTTGTCCAATTTGCCCAAGGTCTTTCCTTGCGCGAGCCATGCTAATCTTCTCTGTATCGTTCCAAATTAGTATACTGTATTAGTATACTGTATGTGCTGCCTATGTCTTTGGACTATTGAAGGAAACTGGAGCCCGCAGACAAAACACACACGAACACAGGGAATACATGCGAACTCCCCACAGATAGCACCCCAGATCCAGAGTTGATCCCAGGACACCAGCGCTGCAAAACAGCTATACTAACCAATGCGCCACCCTGCCGACCAACCATAATAATGCCTACTTTGATTGTTCATATAATTTGCTACATTAAAATATATTTTAGGTTTTCATTGCTAGAGCTACAGTATAAAAGCAAAGCGTTTCTGGACTTTTCATGAAAATGAAGGCTAATTAACGCGTTTTTAGCAAAGAAGTCCCTTGTTAAAGTGAAAATGAGAACTAGACAACATGTTATTTTTAACTGTTCCTTATTTTCACATACTCAAGCTGTTCGGTGATATGAGACAGGGGAAATGATGTTACTTAAAATGATCATCATAGATGAAACTGTAATACTATTTTGTTCAGCTGTACTGTATACGACTATGAATGTACTGTATGAATATTTTAATCAACATTCAGACCTACATATCTAATCTCTGAAGCAAATGTTGCTTTGGCAATAATCTTATTTCGTAATACACCGCATGGATATTTCAGAATATTCAGTATTGTACGCCATTGACCTGTGTCATACTTCGGAGAATAAAATGCGGCGTTAAGTAGAAAACAACATTAAGTAGAAAACAACATGTTTTGCCATTACCACGTATTAATTCCTTTATGTGAAATGAGAGTTTTGTGTAGGAACGCTAAGGGAAAAGGGCGAAAAATGCACGGAACATACAGTACAATAGAAACGCACCCAGCAGGTTGCTGCGTACCCGAAGGGCACGGCTTCCTTTATTTGTCAGAAGGGGCTCGATCTGTCAGAGCTTAAGATCCACTGGTAACGCGTAGAGATGAGGAAGGCTGGGAATTCTATTGGCTCATATAACTCTACAAAAATGAGTTCGACTTCTATATTCAACAATGCAAAGATCTGCTGGGAAGGTGGAACAACAGCAGGAATGTGGGAGGCAGCAATTAAAGAGAGGCATTCCTAAACGGCAAGGGCGACAGAAGGATTATTTGACCATGACTATATGCTTGACTTCGCAAGTTTCAATCCTGACTCAGAGGGAAGTTCGGCTTTCGATACCAAGCAGGTGCCTAAAGAGTCGAAATCAATAAGAAAAACGGCAAATAAAAGATCACGAAGAGCTTGGCTCACTGCGATGGCAGAAACGAGTCACTCGTACAGAACTAGGCTACATCAAAGGGATCATTGAAGGAGATGATATTTACTAGTTCACACTTGCAATATCTGCAAGGTTTAACATTATCAACAGACTTTTAAAAAGCAACAGATGTATTGCGATTTTATAAATGGGACAGAGATGACTAAAATCTGACCTAGTAAAAGACAATCGTTTTGCAGTGAGAAAATTGCATAAAAGTAAGAATTTATGCATAACCTCAATGAGTTTTCACGAAGAGCCTGTTTTAGACAAATTGGAAGATGTTACGAGATATTAATTGCTCTTGTTTATTTTAAAGACACTTTAATTTGTGTGCATACTGTAGTGCATGAGGAAAAGGGAGTGTTTTTGACCCTGTCTAAAATCACTGTCAAGTGATGCGAGTTATCCCAAATCCACACACAGGGAACAACACCGTTGACAACTTTGCACTATGGATTCAAAGATCTTTTTGACTTGGAAAAGAGGTTTCTCTTGTTCGGGGACTTAAGTTTATTTTTGCTATTTATTTCTTTTACTACTGAACAATTTCTCACTAGATTGTTTCAAAGCTCATATATAAGTCAAAATAGTCAAAAAGCTAAAACAATAAAAATCAACCTGATTTTTTTACCCTCATCGAGTTAAAAAATCACTTTGGCTCTTATGGGAATGAAACACTCCTCCCGCTGCCTGCTCCTAAGGAGAAAAATGGCGGAGACCGAGAATCCAGAGGTAGGTAAGAGAAAAGCTTCGTCAAAATACTTCAGAAAATCTGACAAAACAGTGGTATGTTCTGCTATTATGCTTTATTCTTAAATAGGCTAGAGGACTGGAAAACAAATAACACAAAACCCGCTAAATTCCGTAAACAATTATCTTATGTCTATTCAATGTCAGTTGTTGCGGTCATCTGTATAATTTAACAGTTAAAGGTAGGATGGAAAAGACTGCATTATGTTTATGGCATGAGAAATGACCTACACATTTATCATGCTCCTGTTCTAAGACAAAATTAGAAACCATGGTGATTAAAAATTCATCAGCCATTCCAGACTGTAACGGATCATCGTGATTCTATGTAGCAAATGGAGTGGATAGACCTTAGGCGAAACCTTGACCTAGGTAACAGACCTGTGTCCTATATTCTTCCCTTTACGACTATGGGGAAGGCGTTTTTGATAAAATCATATTAAGATGCAGATTAAATAATAATATTAATTATGTTAAATTACACACGACGTACTAGTTGTGAGGGTGAGCTGTCCTTGGTGCTTCAAAAAGCTGCAGTTTTCTAAATCTCTGAAAACCAACGTTACACCCGGCTGAACTGAAAAAACCCATTAAGGTATATCATTTTACTAAATAAAAAGGCTAAATAAGGCCTTCTGATTTACACGTCGCGTAGAAGGAGGAAACCATTATCATACAGTGCCTAGTTTCACCTGGAGCAGCTACCTTACTTTTTGTATTGTAAATCTGAGGAGTTGTGGGTTATCAGATCTGACTTGACTCAGTTGACTGTACATTTGAAGCACTGAGGCAGTTATTTTTAGCAATCCGTCAATAATATGATTAATGATATTCATTCTGAAGCAGTTGAAATAGATCTGTACTCTAAATGAAAGCCTTGCTCTTAAAAACCTTTCCCTTGCTCTGTACAAACTATTAGGATTTGTACATCCATGTTTGACCCAAGAAACTATTAAGAATAGCTCTAAGCACACAATAAAAAACAAAGAAAAATTAAAAGTACTTATTTTTGGAATATTCATATTATTTTGCAAAGGAACAAGTAATAGGTTTATTCCATGCTGAAAAGAGACGAGAGAAAACACAACGTTTCGGCTGTGAAGCCTTCTTCATATTATTTTGGCTGTTAACATTGGAAGTATTGCTTTCGACTTGTCAATAACAATATTTCACAATTTTCCGATAATCGCTTACAAGAAATAAATGCTTCCATTGGTAAAAAAAAACTACCATTAAAAATGTTCAAAGCTCTTCTTTAATCAGTACTCATAAAAAGAGCAGGATAAGTCTGTCTATATTTCCTAGCCGAAACATAATGAGAAGTGTGAAGCTTATCAACAACTATTCCAGTTGTTTCAGTCCCTTACTGTTCCCCCAAATCTTCAAAGTGAAATTATTTTCATTAGCATAGGGTTTGTGAAAAAAAAAATGGATGAATATTAATTTAGGAATACATGAATGGAAACAAGTAATGAGCATCCTCCAAATCAACCTAAAGTGACAGTGGTGCCTTTTGAGTCTCAACAGTGATACACTAATCAGAGATCATAAGTGCACAGTATTTGGAAGGGAACTTGACTTGCAAGTTCAGGAGGCAATTCTGATGTGGCACAAGGGATGTGGGAGTATGGAACAAGCTATCTAGTGATATTGTCAAAGCTGATACCCTGGCTTCTTTTAAGAAACTGGTGAACGAAGTCTTCAGATTAATTAGCTACTAACTAGTTAGTAGCTGAAAGACCCAGATACCTCCTCTCATTTACAATCCTTCTTATGTTCTAATACATGGAAAGATTGTGTGCAAAATTTCCCTTTGTTGGCAACATAATTGTGTTATAAAAATGACAGAAGATACTCACTGAAAAACGTGTCCCCCAGTTATAGAGCATGACTCTAGTCATAAATATAACATTATATTATTTATATATTCTTTTTTTGGGTAATATAAGTGGATGCACTGAAAATGGACGAATAAAATTCTTAAAAAAAAATTAGAGCTTCTGTTATCAGTGGTCAAAAGTAACTTTAAATTCAGTCTTAATTTGATTTTCTTTCAACATGTCTCATCGCTTCTGTTGTATATTATTATGTATCTCATAAATTATTGGTTTAATGTTAATTATAATATCAATTCACAGAAAATGAGACATTGATGGTAGCAAGTCCTTACAAAACTTTTTTTTTCTGTCAGGAAAGTGTCACATTGGATCGTTAGGATTTTCTTATATGATTGTATGCTCATTTTCTCCAAATTTGGGGAATTATTTTTTTGCGTTTCAGAAATGTGAAGTGAGGAATACAATTATTGTAATAATAAAGTTCACATTTTTCTGGAATTTATTTTAAGTGCATATAAAATCATTATGCAATTTTATATTTATTTCTTGTAAAACCAAAGAATAATTCAATTAATTTCACAGCCTTTGCTTAGTAGATTCAATCTGCCTAGTAATGAAGGTGCATCAAAAAACTTTTTTAAAAAGATACAAAAGATATTTCAGCTATAGGGATAATGAAAAAAATCTAGCAATAAAAAAGTAAAAGAAAGTAAAAGTAGTTAGAATATGTTATCCTTTTTATTATCCAGGGAATAAAGAACTGGAGTCTCAGAGTAGCTGTCAGTGAATGAAGTGCTGAATTTCAGATTTCTCTCTATTGCTTATAACTTAAGATTTCATTTTACAGAGAGGAAACAGAAAAATAACACAGAACTTCTTGGTGATAGTTTATTAAAAAAACAAGAAGCCAGTTTATTTTGAAGGCAACAATTGTTACTAAATATAAGAAAATAAAAGTATAAGAAAAATTATGTACACTTATTACTTACTGAACATGGTTTTGTATTAGCATCGATTTCCTAATTAACGGCTACTCAGGGTAGACACAAGGACATTATTTTTTTTCCAAATTTCTATATTCATATTTGGCAGAAAGGGGTGCTTGAGCTTACAGAACTTTGAGAAAAGTGTAAATGTATGTGAATAGTGTATTCTTTGGGTTCTTGTAGTCAATAAAGAAATGAAATAAAACTTGGCGTCATCTTTCAACTAGATTTTGGGCATATCTTTAAAAGGTTATAAATATGCTGTTTAACAGAAATATTTATACATAGTACTACTCCTGATTGTAAACTTCCCACAAATCATACCAAAAAATGTGCTGTAACTTGTGTTGTGTTGTTGTAGCGCATCAGTGACTGAATCAGAAACACATAACGATAAAGTGGCAAATTCTTTATGAAGTGACGAGACATAATTGTAACTGCAGTGGTCCTTTATGACACAAGGTTTAAACTACAAATTTTAAAAGACACACTTTACTCCAAATAACCGTACAATAATAGTGCAGTTTTCAGTTTCTTTTAATATTTGTCTTAATATACTGTATACAGTATATTAAATATAAGGCATTTTTTATATTTGTTTCCATATCTTGGTTTCCTAGTGAAAAATAAAAACTTTGAAGTCTTAAATGTGTATTGTGTAGTTTAGGTGAAGCAGAAATTCAACAATATTCTGATAACATAATTAGCTTTGTGGTAAGACCTGGTTCAGGATCTGCTTATTGCCACAAAAATATGCATTTTATTTATGGAGAATCATATTTAAAAAGACTTAACATTATACTGTATAGATAACTGTTTTCTATTTAATTACAGTGTTTCCTTAGGAAAATGGTAGAATCCTGGTCTGGTATTGTACTGGTAAGAAACAGTTTTTTGCTAAAGCCAGTGTCATATTTTAAATAATAGGAGGCAATTGTATGTGTTCGAGCTTGTCAAAAAGCTTAGTGAGTTTAGAGCAGGGGAAAGTGGGTAATGCACTCCTCAACCATTGGCTTGCTTTGACAATATTTGTTGCCTCCAACATTTTGAATGAAAACACACATACAGTATTCATTTTAAACACCTAAATGATATTATGATCACTTTAAGCTCTTTAAGTACATGTTAATAAAAAGGTATCAATATTGAAGGTCAACAAGTTATGATGGTAGTAGTTCACACAATGTGTTAGGATTTCCAGCATAGACAGATCAGCAGTGTTTTCACTGGGCTGGAAGGACTGTTATCTGACAGAAATTGTGCTGGTCTTAAAATGTTTTCAGTTCTTCTCAGTGGTTCAGCTTACTACATAAGACTGAGCCAAGGTGAAGAAAGAAACATCTTGATTACTAAAGGAGGACCACAATGATTTTTACTTTTTATTTTTGTATTTTACTGTTCTTCCAAAACACTTCCAAGAAATCCCCCAAAATCTTGATATTTTTCATTTTGCACAAAATATTTTTTTATTTCTTTGCCAGTTTTCATTAAGCTAAATTAAAATAATTGATAAAAATAATTACTGGTCAATATGTTTTAAACATGAACATAAAGTTCTATTACTATATTTCATGCATGTAATGGAAACAATAATTAGAACTAAAATAGAGCTTAATCTGACCCTGCTTAGAGTTCTTTGAACAAATAACAGAAGTAATGGCTGCTATTTTTCAGACAATGGGAACTACCCGAATCCTGAGTAACTGTCAGAAGTATTTATTAATGGTGTTGTATTTTCTTAAGTACAATTGGTATCACAATGGGTATCAGGCCCTGGAGATTTGTTTATCTTGAGTGCGTCTAGTATAGTACATGTTAAACATTTGCATCTTCTATGCTAGTATTATTTCATATATACAGTACACTCTGTATTATTAGTGTAGTTGACTTTAATCAGCCTGAGGCATTTTGTGTTGCTGAGTGAAATATTATTTTAATACATCAGTCTTTTCCTTTTATTTGTCTAATGGGGATGATTGTACCTGGACGTTTCATCATCTACAGTATAACATATTCCAACTGCGGCTAAGGATGTGTATGAAACTTCTAACAGAAAAGCATAGACTGAGGAAACTGGTTTCTTTGATTTGCCCCCTGAAATGCAGCAGATTGTACACTTAATGTGCGGACACCATAGGAATGTACTGCAGAATGGAGGTGTTAGTAAAAAAGAAAGAGGAGCCAGGGCACTTGTACTAATGTGTAAAAATATCAGAGACCATCCTCGTTATAAATATGTGCTAGAGTGTGAATCCCACTGTCACTCCAAAATGAAGCAGAGACTTGTAAGTAATTCTGTTAGGTTATGACTGTAGAAAATACAATTACCACTGTTTTCTGGGACATTGTGAGTCCTCCCATCAAAAAATATTTAATTATAGGAACACAAACTACTGAGTCTGGAGGGAATATTGGAATAAATTTAATCTTGATCTATAAAGATAGACCAGGTGTTCCTCAAGGAACAGGAGTATCAGGACTGAACCGGTCGGACAGTTGTCACAAAACGACAATGTAAAAATAAAATTTAAAGTCTGTCAGATTTAGGCAAACTACTGTACATCTGAATATTGTCCATGCTACAGAGAATATAAATCAAGTTGACTTCTCTTTCTTTGCGGTTAGAAATTCAAGATTTTGAGACTTTAGGAATGTTTTTCCTTCGTTATACATATATCATTATTTCATATTTTGTATTAGAATTTGGCTTGAAACATTAAGAAACAGAGAAGCTCATCCAAATAATTATGCCAGCCTGACCTGTGGTGTCCAGTGGTCACACATTGATCATGGTTATGTCAGTGGTTTCCAGCAGGGTGTCCTAACAAGCGGTTTTACATCAAACGGCTCTAATTATTATTTTTTGCCTGCTGAGATGGAGCTACAGTATAGCTGTGATTATTGTTTTGGCTAGTTGAATGTATAATTGCATTTTTCGGTGCCAGACTGAATCAAAAGGCAGTAAAATGACTTTGTCTTGAAAAGGGTTGACAAGACAGTCTTTCATAAAAGGATTTCTGGATCTGTTTACTGTAGAACATGTGTCAAAAACAAGTACAGTATAGGAATTGAAAAAGTTTTTTTTTTCAGAAGAATCATAAGTATAACTAGTAGATATAACTAGTAGGGGGCGCTCACCCTGTGGTCCATGTGGGTCCTAATGCCCCAGTATAGTGACGGGGACACTATACTGTAAACAGGCGCCGTCCTTCGGATGAGACGTAAAACCGAGGTCCTGACTCTCTGTGGTCATTAAAAATCCCAGGGCGCTTCTCAAAAAGAGTAGGGGTGTAACCCCGGTGTCCTGGCCAAATTTCCCATTGGCCCTTACCAATCATGGCTTCCTAATAATCCCCACCTATGAACTGGCTTCATCACTCTGCTCTCCTCCCCACTGAGAGCTGGTGTGTGGTGAGTGTACTGCCATCGCATCATCAGGTGGATGCTGCACATTGGTGGTGGTGGAGGGGAGTCCCCATTACCTGTAAAGCACTTTGAGTGGAGTGTCCAGAAAAGCGCTATATAAGTGTAAGCAATTATTATTATTACTTACAATGTTTTGGGTAAAAAGGAGCAGACACGCTCAAACCAAGGGCCAATTTTCCAAGACAATTAATCTACATGGATATTTTTTGACTGTGGGAGGAACCCCACAATAACTGAGGAGACCATACAGACTCCACACAGATAGCAACTTAGCTCTGGAATTGAACCCAGGGCCCCAGCAATGTGAGGTAACAATACTAACTACTGTGCCACCATGCCACTCAAACATTATAACAGTTATTTATTTTTTATCAATACTGCTGCATTTTTGTCATTATTGTATTAATGACTTATTGATATAAATATAATTCTTCTACAAAATAAATACTTGGCAATGCCGTTCTTCTTTGATGTTCTATCCTGATGATCATAAGTTATAAGTGCTAGTGCTTGTCCATTTCTTGTCCTATTTGAAAACCTTATTATGAATTCATTATTGGCCTGCCTTTCCAATTAAATATAGTTATTGAATTGGTTTAAACAAAATATCAATATGACAAAAGTAATAGATTTATTACTAGTTTAATAATCTTTCTCTTTCTATCAGTATGCTCATAAGCAAGAACTCATCACTGGCTTCATAAACCAGCTGTGGACATTGTCACCTCAATGTCTTGGCTTCAGTCTTCATTTGCTTTTTAGAATCATGTTAAGATCTGCTTTTGATACATGTGCATCTTTTCCAGTAGCTTTGCTTTGTCTACTGCTGGTTGCATGTTCATTGCTATCACATAAACTAGCACTCCCTACCTCCTGGTAGTTTCATGTTGTCGACAAAGCCGTTAGATATTGGTATCTGCTGGTCCAGAACTGAGGGCGGGTGTTGGGTAGTATCAGTTATACTGTATGTCATGTGCTAGAGAACAGAATGGACTTCATGTGATTCTTTTCTTACGTTTATAACAGCCATGCAGGAATATTTTTAAAAACATTTTTGGGTTGGATACTCAGTTTGCAGAAATAAAATAATGGAAAATAATGACACTAAATTATTCTTTTACTGTGTCATGCATTGTATTTATTGTGGACTCAATAATGTGACCCGTCACTGATCTATGTGGCTCATAAATAAAAAGTAAACACGATGAGGTTTAAACATGCAAGAAAATAACAGGGAATCTTTAAAATTGCCTTTAAGGTTTGCAGTTTCATACTCATTTATTTATATTGAATTTATCGATTATTCACCATCACGAATAGAATAAACGATTTAGGTTTACAACTATATAAAAGCTTCTAGTATTATGCTGCTAATCTGTGTGATTGAGTGATGATAGAAGATATACAGTATGTTTCAGTTCAGTGAATGAGATAGGGAAAAAAGTACAATTCAATTGTATTCAATTCAATTCAATAAAATCAATTGTGGATTTTAAATGTTCCTCTTGGAGTGCATTTATTCTCATCTTTAAGTGTCCTATTCATATTTGGTGTGTTGTCTGTTTTCATTTACATACAGCATTATGCATGAATAAAAACAGGAAAAAAATAACCATAAACTCAGGATCCGTTCTAAGTCTGAAGGAATCCATACCATGGCCCTGTGCACTGGTGACTACTGAATCTGATGTCGTGTCTCATAGAGTGGCTTGTAACTTGAACAGTACAAAGAAATGTGACAAATTCCAGTTTGGCTTAGTTCAAACAAGTGTTCCAGTGTGAAAAGAGTACATTTATGCTTTATTCTGGTTTGTTGGTTGGTTGCATTATCTAGTATCAATGTATTATTTAGTGTTATCTGGTGGTTATCTGTATTATTTGTAATCTGATATTGAAGATTATAGATTAGTCAAGATAAATGAAATTAATACATTCATAAAAACTTGGCCACGGCATCTGTTTTTCAAAATGGCTGTTTTTGAAGATGAAAATACCAAAGACTAATTGATCTGGAAGGATGATTTAATCCACTGTACTTTTAAGTAAATGTACATCCGCTGTGAATTTACCATTGCTGCAGTTCTGGAGATTTTGGAGTGGCCTCTGGCTGGGAGGAATCCAGTTATCAGAGTCAACATGTAAAAGACATAGACAATGGTAGGACTGTGATTATGTGCAGTATATTCAGGGATTAAGGTACAAACCTTAAAGCAGAATATTTAACATGCTGGGGTTAAAATCCCAGTGTAGGACAGAAGTTCATTTTTATGGGATGATAAGCTTTTATGGAAGAAGTGGGACCTAGGTAATGGAACTGGGTACATCTACATTAAAGGGAAACCTATGGATTGGGCATGTACACCTGTGCAGAGTGAGAGTCTTAATGCCCCCCAATTCAGAGTGTGAGCCAGGATCAGAGGACAGAGAGATTAGTAGAGAGGAAACAACTACAGTACAATTCCAGTGTCCCTCAGCAGTGAAAAAATCAGGCACTCAACAACAGATCTTGGGCCAGCAGATCCAGACTCAGTGTCTCTTTTCTTTTCACCATGGAATAACATTACATGTTCCTTTGCTGCCTGCACATGCTGATTCAGCTATCTACCTGAACTATATCGATACTATACTGTACTGTATATTGTATATATAAATTAATTATATAAATGGTTGATAATAAGTATTAAGTACTGTAATTATGAAATTAAATGAGTCACAAAAACCTGGTTAATGGAAAATGATGTCGTATTTGTATAGTTTTTCTTAAAATTTAGTCCTCAAGGAAGGACATGCGGAAATGTATAGCTAAAATAGAATCCAAGACAATCGTCAAATTTCGAACATACATTAGTTGATACGGTACATTTTCAAATCCAGTTAGCAAATCACACCCTAAAAATGTATGACCTAAGTATTTTATTGGATAACTAATAAACTAATAAACTAACTAATAAAAATACAGGAAAGCAAAACACCCGAAGAAGCATGAAAAGTACATACTGTTGCACATTGTCCAAAAGTCATATTTTGCAATGGGGGCAAACGTTAGCACAAAAAAGTTGAATGTTAAATGCTTCCCAAAGTCAGCTCCACTCTTCTCCACTGTGCAAGTGCAAATGAGTAAGACTGTCAAAACACTACCGACATATTCATATGTCATATCTCATAAGAAGTCTTCAATTCTACCAAGAATATACAATTAGGGTTAGTCAATAAATCAAAGAATAGCAATTGCAGTTGAAACTGAATGTGTTTTAGTATTGTATGGTCAATTGAAATCAATTTTTACAGTGCTAAGAAAACCCTCTAGGTTTACAGTGTTGTGGACACCCTTGGTTAGTCCTATACTCAGATATTTTACATTTAAAACATAATTCTATTTTAGGAAAGTGTTAAGGATGGCAGAATGGTGCAGTGACTAGCATTGGGGCCATAAGTTGAATTCCTTGGGTGCTATCTGCATGCGGTTTGTACTGTATGTACTCCACAGATTCAGATGGGTTTCCTCCCATAGTCCAAAGACATACTGGTAGGACAATTGGCTTCTTCTTGACTTCTGGGAAAATTGGCCCTGGTATCATTGTGTGCGTGTCTTAGTGGGTATGTGCCCCGTGATGGACTGGTATCCTGTATAGGACGTTTCCTGCCTTGTGTCTGTTGCTTTCTGGGATGGCCTCCCCCTATAACCTTGTTTTGGATAAACCAGGAAGAAAATGGAGGGATGAAAGTCATAATGAAAGTGTCAAGTAACAGAACTAGTATAATTTCAATGTGATTTACATCCAGACTTTGACTTGGCTCCTCTAAAATGTGAATTGTAATTTGCATATCTGTAATTATACTGGGGGTTTTATCAGGACTATTTAACATTGTATTTTTCTTTATTATGGTATCTTCTAGTGGTCCGAAAAGAATTGGAAAATTGTAGTTTTTCTGGGTTTTTAATGCAGTAATGTAAGTTATTTATTTCACCAACACAGATGGGTGTGTTGATTTAAGGGTGGGATTTAAGGTGGGATTTAAGGTTTTTTGCTAGATGACTCATTTTGGGAACATCATGGTAAGAATCGTAGATTTTGTATTATTCACAGAGTGTTAGCATGGCAGAGTACTGATGTACTGTACATTTCTACTGGATCCAAACCATTCAGCTTAATTTCTGGAATCAATGATGTTTTTTTTTACCATTGTAGTTTTTGTTGTTCTGTATATCAGAACAAAATACTGTATGTACATTATTAACAGAATTAATATAAGAAAAGATCATGTTATTGGCCATATACAATTTCTTGCATTAGGAATTTGTCTTTACATACCCCAGCTCTCTCTCTATGAGACACACAGACAGGGAGAGAAGCTTGGGGTCAGAGCACAGGGTCAGCCATTTATATAGTGCCTCTGGAGCAGTTGGGGTTAAGGGCCTTGCTCAGGGGCTGAATGGAGTAGGATTCCTCTGCCAGCCACAGGATTTGAACTGACAACCTTCTAGCTACTGGTACATATTCTTAGCCACAGGGCCACTGGTCTGCCCCGAATATATGATTGTAGATGGTAAATTAAATGTTATAACAATCAAATTTCACTTGAAACAAAGCTACTGAGTACAGATGTGTTGAGTAAACCAGGGAGGACAGTGATGGAAGTGAGATGGCTAGAGATGGACTCAAACAAGGGAGCTTCATGATATTTCTTCACGTAGTGTATTTTTGTCTTCATCCTGTCTGTTTGTGTTTTTCAATAATCCAAATCCATATTAAGATCATTTTAGGAGGAACAAGCTATTTTTGATAACCAGACATGTATTCCTACACAAATTCTGGTAATGCAGTAAATGTTTTGTTTTGTATACATGGACTCATTGTTAAAACTTTCACAAAGAAAAAAAAAGGGAAAATGACGTATCATCTGTCTGTCTTTTCCTTGCTGAAATTATTACAAAAACAAGACAGCCCTCCCAAATCTGAAGTATTAAATCTGATTGTTCTTTTTTTTCTGATGTCCAGAAATCATTATCTGTCCTACACCTTCTGATACAGACATATGAAGGCTATTTCACCTCCTTTCACAAAATAAATAAAGCAATTTTCTTTTGGATAGGCCAGATGCTACCTCATCAAAGATTGTTGAGTAAATCTCTTGTTGGATATCTCACAGATTATCATACCAGGGGTATATTCGAATCCCTCTGGTTTCACACTTATACAGGCAAGACTTATGATATTAACAGGATTGTTTTATTCAGAGGAAGCAATATATCTCATATACAGTATTTTCATCTGCCCATTAACAGTCCCAGCAGCAACTGTCTGATTTGGCTAAGTGAAGTGTTCTTAAAAAGGGTTTCTCCTGCTCCTGAAATTGTAGCAGTAACCATTTGAATAGATTTAGGGGATCTATTAATGTTTTTTTGTCAATAGATTCGATAATCTGACAGTATTTGTACAATTATACAGTCTGACAAATTTTCCTCTCTCAGTCAAGGAGTTTTAGTGGTTCACTTTCAGTGATCTTTTAAAACAGCTTCCCATACGGTAGATACAGGATACAGATACAGGTCTTGTAAAATTATGAATATAGATTGTTGTACGGAATCATTGGTCATATCCCTGTTGGCCATAACTGTAAGCACTCCCTTAAGACGTAAGAGTTTACCAGCAGAGCTGAGCTGATATACATACTTTAGTGTATAGCTCAGACGAATGTACTGCAGAGAGGATAAATTAAAAAAGCTGATTCATCTTTTGGCCCTGCATATCTACACATAATGTGCATTAATCTGAACTTGAACTTGAACTTTATTGCCATATGTAACCGGTACTGGTACAATGGAATTCTTACTTACAGAAAGTCTCTCGATTGTAAAACAAGTGTAAAAAAACAAAACAAAGTGCAAACAGTGCAAAATACTAAAACAATAAATGCATGACAATCATAAGTTTCCATTAGTCTTATTTTTCCATTCTGTCATTTCTCATCCCAGTAGGGTGAACAATTGTGAAATTTTGTAAACACCTCAAGATTGATTTGTTCTGGAGAGAAGCCTTTCCAAGATTGCTTCTCCCTGAAGGAACTGAAGGTGATAATCACTGCTCTATTATCACATATTTCTCCACCATTTCTACAATGTCTGTCCCTCTTCAAATAAAACTCTAGCCTTTCAACAATGTTACAGTTTTCTTTCATTTCTTTGTATGGTGTAATGGTATTGTACTGTAGTCTGTTCTTCACAAGATTTTAATGCAACTGAAAGTTTCAAAGCCCAAACCAAGAAAGCGATCAGAATTCAACCTGATTAGAAGAAATATATCTCACATAGTGTATCCCCCTGAGGGAATTGTAGTAGAAACAGGAGGAGGTGTATCTCTGTACTTTATGAGATGGCAGGGGAATTCAGGACCACCCATTCGTTTCAGAGATGTGAAAAGGGTGTGTGAGGTACATGGAAAATGTAATCTAGTGCAGTAATTCCCAGCCCTGGTCCTGCATGACCTCTAATTTTTGTTCTATGTTCATAATTGCAGGCTAATTGATTTTAATTTTCAAATGCTCTTTGCATTTAAAAAGAGTGAGATTTAACGAGCTTTGTACTGGGTGTCAACCCTGTATCAATTTCTCTGTTTTCCAGCTCTTTTCATTCAGTAACAGCATACTGTTACTGTTACATATCCTCTTAATGTTCCCAACAAGGGATGAAAAATACCTGTTGCTTGTGAGGGGTCCGATACTTTGCCATCTAAAAAGTGTGAATTGGCCCCAGCAATGTCAGTGCTTGAGATCAGGAGCTGAAAGCATTCTGTCTTGTGGCCTTTCAGCAGCAGATCAACAGCGCCCCGTCGCAGTCTGTCCAGCCTATGCCACTGCCCAAACCAGTACAATCCATTCAGCATGTTTCCCACACGTCTGCCTTGCCCAGCTGTCCGGGGCGAGGGAAGATGGCCAAGTTCCTCAGCCCTGAGGAAATGACCTCCAGGGATTACTACTTCGACTCGTACGCTCACTTTGGCATTCATGAGGTAAGTCTTCTTTTGTGCTTTGCAGCTGAACCAAAATGAATGGTTGTATATGGAGAAACAATACAGAATGTATCCATTGCATGATTATAAACCTCAACCACAGTGTGTAAATTGATATTTATACTGACACAGTCTGTGACTTTTCACCTTTGTGTAATGCTGTGAAGCAGAATTTAAAGAATATATTTCTGTCAAGGAAACTCTTATACACCACTGGACAAGGGTATAAAGTATTCAGACAATGCATTTACTGTGCTTTTAAATCACTAGTAATGTACATAGCATGTGTGGTATACCTAGGGCTGAGGAGTACTGAAAAAACAGTAACACATGTACAGATGGAAGGTACAAAAAGTGTTCTGAACAAAACACTGAAAAGGGGTCAATGTATCATTTACCTGTACTCCTTTGAATATATTGCACTAGATACAACGACATAAGATCCATCTAAAGTAATTAGGTACACCTTCAGGAAAAGTGTAAACCAAGAGGTAATACAGTATATGTATGAAATGTGCAAATCTGATTGCTACAAAAAGTTCTTGTATCTTGTTTTCAAGGAACTCTTTATAATTATGAGTTAAGCAATTGCTTCAAATTATTAAATTAGTGGTTCAGATACATAACAGATTCTCAGTGTTCCAGACACTTCCTCACCTTTCTAATGACATTCTTGTAGCAAATTAAGACACATTGATAAATGATGATCAGCAACAGCCACAAGTTCATAATGAATTGCCAAATACTGTGTAGTTCTTAAAAAGTTGGTTTCAAATGTAACTAAAATGAGACACGATTATTAAAAAGTTTCATGCAGTACATTAGCAAATACAAACTCAATGTGTTAATAAAAGTTGCCAATATTTACTTTGTGTCTATAATGAATGCCAAAGGTGTGACCTGTAACCTGCCAATGAACATGATGGGTGAGGTGCTTTTAACTGGGGTCATGGTCATGGTGCCCAACAGCAAAACGGATTAATCCATTTTGCTGTTGGGCACCAAGATTTTCTCCCTTTGAATGAGCAAAATTATTGCACACTCATTGAATATGTGAAGTATTAGAAACCTATTCTGGTTCATTAGATACTGTATGTTCATACTGGTGGTATGTAGTGACATTTGCAATGAAAAGAATGTGCATGTTCCAGGATCTAAGACAATCTTACTACTGTAGCTCCCTGATTTAGATTACATTCAGCTTCCACTTGACCCTTTACGCCTAT